AATGATTGAACAACTATTTATGATATAATTGGGCATGAGATAAATGGGAAATTCAAGAGCCTCATGTTTGATAATTCATACTGCCATGATAAGTCAAGGCCTCTCATAAATTTGATGTTATCTTTGATCAATTGAAATTTCGCTTTTGGTTTCTCTATGTTACCCATAATTTCTTTTTGCTTTTATTTTTTTAATTATTTGTAAAATAATATTCAAAGCATGTTGCATTAATCATTCCAGCATACGGTATGTGCAAATGCATTAGTATCTGCTAGTGATGCATTGATTTGATGAGGAGAACAATCAAGTCTTGTTTGATGTGCTATGATTTGCCTTGCTGCAGCTTGGTTACACCAAAAAACAAGAGGAGCGACATTTCCGAGGAGTTGTTACTTTAGAGGTATGGATTTCTTAGAGAGCGAAAAATGCCCTTGTTCTTAACAAAATTAATTCGTGGAATGGCGGATATAATGGTCTGCATAAAATTTCTGAATCCTGTTTATTTAAATTGGCAGATGCGTTTAGGATAGTGTAGTAGCCTACAATGGCAGCTCCTAGAGGTTTCAAATAACAAAGAGAAAATGGGTTTATTAAACGATAATATTTAATTTTTGGATGTTCCTTTTTTTAATTTGAATTTTATAACCAGGAATGCAATATTGAGGAGACTTCTGATGATGATGCTCCTGCCAAGGGTTCTAAGGATAAGAAGGCAGATGGGGCTGATTCTGGAAAATCACCAAGCCTCATTTTCAAGATAACAAGCAAGGTCCCCTATAAGACTGTCATGAAATGTAACTCTCTTACTAACATATGCATTCTATCATCGCCCGGCCAAATTATGAATGATTGAATATAACTGAACAATCTATGTCAATGTTGCAACATGCTTTTGGCAGCTGAAAGTGTAGTTGTGTTAAAGGCAGAAAACATGGCTGATAAAGTTGAGTGGCTAAACAAGCTAGGCAATATTGCACATTTTATTAAAGGAGGAGCTCAAACGATAGCTGAATCTGGTTTTCCTATTCGACAAAGTCTTTCTGATGGTTCTCTTGTAAGTTAAAAGCTAACTTATCCTCTCTTATTTGATCTGTATAATAGCAAAATAAAAATTTGCACTCTTTCTTTACCGTACCATAGGGAGAACCAACATGTTGGTTTATTTGGGATTACGCCATTATACAGGAAGAGGTTTCCCAGTGATGCATTTCACCCCTCCCCTGGCCACTGGCCTGGCCAAGATATTTATTCTGAAAATCAGTTATGAATTTCATGAAAGTTATGAATCTCTGCAGCTACATTTTTTTCCCATCTTTTTCTATTTACATACCTAGCCAGTTTACCATGTGTCCAATAAGTTTTTCTTTCTGGCGTCTAGAGTCTATTCTGCAGCTACTGATGTTGAGTACTCTTGTAGGATGCCATGGCTAGAAAGCCTGCGGATCCTGAAGAGGAACTTAGATGGATGACGCAGGAAGTGCGTGGTTATGTTGAAGCGGTTCTTAATAGCCTTGCTGCTAATGTTCCAAAAGTCAGTTTCTTTTATTAGTTGCTATATTTACTGTCTTTTTGTTCATTGCTGTTAATGAAATCATTTAGTTTTCTCTGAGCAGGCAGTTGTTCTTTGCCTAGTAGAGAAAGCTAAAGAAGACATGCTTAACCAATTATATAGTTCCCTCAGGTTCATTCTGTCTCCTCTCTCCTTAGTTTCAATTGAGTTTTCTGTTTCTTGATATGCCAGCAAGCCTTCCCTGCTTTTCTACTTCCATGATTCAAACAACTTTTAATGTTCTTGCAACTCCATTATTATTCTATTACACATTTGAATAAATACTAGGTCTAGTGGGTTTTTCACTTTTGTTTCGATTTTTTCCCAATAAGTATTAATTCCCATCACTTTGAGATAAATATATTCATACACATGATAAGCAGCATTAAATTCAATTATCTTTATCATCTAAACACTTCAAATCTCACAATAAAATTTGGCAGCACTAATTTGATCTGCTAATGTTGACAGTGCCCGGAGCTCAGCAAATATTGAACAATTACTCCTGGAAGACCAGAATGTAAGGAACAAAAGGGAGCGTGTCCATAAACAGTCAACCCTTCTTTCAAAACTCATTAGGCAACTTGGCGTCCATGACAATAGGGCAGCTGCTGCTTCTAGTTGGTCTGATGGAGGGGCAGGTAACACTACGCAAACCTGAATGTTCTTGAGGTTCTCTCCTAAGAAATATGCCGGGTATTGCAATTTACCCGGGTTTTTTAAGGAAGGGGAGAGGATGAGTCTGTTTGGTTGAAGGAGGAAGGTAAAAAATTTTGTCTTTTTGTGCTTCCTTCCCCTCCCCTCCAAATAAGTCGATTTTGACTTACTTTTTTCCAGTGTTATCCCTCCTTACTTTTTTCAATATATATTAATTAGTTATATATATATATATTATATGTGTGAGTATACATATTATATATATCTATTAATATATTAATTAAGTATATATACCCCGCGAGAGCATGGATACCTTGTCAGCGATCAATTTATAGGTACCTATGTAGACTTTCTTTGAACCGTGACTCAAAACTACTCTTTTACGACACCCCCCCTAAAAAAAAAAAAAAAAGCCTGAGTTCACTGTTTCATGTTTTTAACACTTGCGAATCTTGAGCTACCTTAGATAATACAATTTATTGAAATTTAAAATTTAATCAAATATTTTAGTCTGTGCATCACAGGGGAGATAAATTTCTAGTTCCCATTGAAATCAAGTACTATCTATATGAACTTGTACCATAATTTAGTCTAATAATTTCAGTTTCTGGTCATTTGTTCCTTCAGAAAACAACATAGGAAGCTCTGTACCTTCATCTGGTGAGGATTGGAAGTCTGCCTTTGATGCGGCTGCTAATGGTCGAAGTGACTCCTATAGGTATGGATCTGGTGGTCACAGTAGACGTTATAGTGACCCATATCAAAATGTTGAAGTAAGCTCAGGTTCAAACTCCGGCAGTCGCCGAACACCTAACCGATTGCCGCCGCCACCTCCCCAATCTAGTTCTAGGTATTAGATAAAGTTACAAATGATCTTCATAATAATAATTTTGCAATCTTGTGGATGGATGTTTTCAGTTTTGACTGCCTTATATTGAGGCTACCCCACAGCCATTCTTTATAACTAGGCTAAGTTCAAGTGGCTTGGGTTTGTAGAAAAACGTTGGGGTAAATTGCATAGACAAAGTTTATATAAATTTTGAAGTTTAAAAATTTATATAAACTTCACTGAAATTTTATAGACGTTTTTTAAAATTTTTATAATATACACAAATTTTCCTAAAAATAAATGAGATGTGTATTCCCAAATAAAAAATAAATCAGAGAGGCCTAGGTAATTTATTCTTCTTCTTTTTTTTCCAAGTTTGTGCGAGTTTTGAAATTAGAGAGGTTTATGATTCAACAAAGATAGGGAAAAATTTTATATTTTACTTTGTTTTCAAAACAAAATTGCATGAGTTATATATATAATATTAATAAAATTTGCTGAAAATTCATATAATTTATTCTAAATATGGTTTTTTTGAATTTCTTCTCTTGGTATCCTAAGCTAAGGTTATCTTCTAGGCATATCAACGGATTCAGACTAATCCGTAGTGCACTTTATGGGACCCCAAGGCAGCTTGCCTACCACAAACACTGCAATGTTTCCAAGCGGGATTGAATCCCTAACCTTGGTTAAACTAGAACGACTTCCAGCCAGTCGATCCAAGTGTTTGGTGGTATTCTAAATATGGCTTTGACAAAAGATTGTAGTGCGGCATGTCCAATATGTTTTCCTTCAATGGTCAAGATGATAGTGTTCCCAATCGTCCACAATATCATATCTCTTTTTCAACTCCGTCATCTCCTTGCATTTTAAAAAAAAAAAACAAATTATTTTGTAGGTATTTATACTTTTTTAAAAAATTTTAATTTATTATTTGTGTGAAAATTCATAAAAACAAATCATAAAAAACAAAGTTTCTTGTCTAAAAAAATGTTACTACTTAAATTTTGAAATTTTGTTAGTAGAAAATAAAGCTTTAATTATATATAATTTGAACATTTCTCCTATAACTCTTTGTTTAATTTTTCCTTCCAAAACTTTGACCTTAAATGTGTATGCGATTGAAAGTGGCCAAATAGACCAAACAAAACTGATTCTCAAATGTCTATGAGGAGTGAAGGTGACGGTTCCATTTTTAAAACTTGTTGGGAATTGAATATAAAGATTGCAAATTGTTGCTATTGAATGATGCGCTAAGGATCATCCTTATCTTCGGGATGAGCGAATTTAATCTGCATTATTGAAGAATTTGTCCGGAGAAATTATCTAGGGCTCCGTTTGGTCAGCGGGAATTAGCGATCACGAAAACAGAAGGGAAATGGAAATTGGATTTCCCTTTGATTGATTGGCGTAAAAGTGAAGTTATTGGGAAGCAATTTTCAAAGAAGTGCAAATGGCTTTCTTAGTAGACCCAACATTCAAACTTAGAGTCAAGAGTTGACTTGTATTTGTGGCTTATAAAATTGTATTAATCTGTTTTTAAATTCGTATTAGTTGTAAATTTAAATTAAATTCGTGAGTTAATTTATCAATTTTATTTTTTTATCTTATACAATTATGTTCAAAGAACAAAAAATTGGACCATGTATTTCTAGACAGAGATGGTAGAAGTGGGTGTGGCAGTGTAACCAAAGATGCTACAACTAGGTGGATCTGCGATTTTAGCTGCAAGATAATAGTAATTCCTTTGATGATTGCTGGGCTACTGGGGTATCTTGATGACAACTTTTTGGATTAAGGGATACAAAAATATTGATTTTTACAGTGACTATATTAAAGTTGTTAGTATTATTTCAAGGGGTTGTGATGATAATCACCTCTTTAGAGAAATTATTGATGACATTAAACTTTTGTTACAGAGAGATTGACTGATTATTTGTATCATGTGAGTAGGGAGGAAATGGGATGGCGAATAGGATAGAAAGATTAGCCCATAGACTAAAAAATACTTGGATATCATTGGTCAACCAATACTTGGTTATCATTGGTCAACCACCATTTCTTAACCGAGAGGTGGAGATTGATGATGAAGATAGGCTTTGTTCTCTTGTTTTTTGTTCAAGTGTTAACATCCAGGTTTATTCCCCCAAAAAAAAAAGTTGTTAAGTCATGCTGCCTTGTTATAGTCATCGTGGTCTTCTTTTTTTTTTTTTTTTTGATGAGGACCTTTGTATAGTCTTCTATTACCTTCGATCCTTAATATAAGATCTTATTTGATTTTTATTTTGATCCTAATTATAAGACTCTAATCAACTTTGTCTCCTATATATATATTTTTTCTCAAAGTAGTCCCTCTAATAATGATAGTTCTAGCTAATAAACTTGATTAGTAAGGATATTTTAGGGAAAAAAACACCTATTTATTATGAATAACTAACTTAACTTATTTCTTTAATCTCTCTAAATTAATCAATTAGCTATTATAATTAGGACTAGAGGTAGTATTATTTATTTTTTTTGTGGATGCAACCTTCATCCTCTGATTGAAAGTTAGGACTCAAGAAGCTGTAAAAGTGAAGCAAGAGGAAGTTTGAATTTGAAATACATCGAAATCAAATTCTTCTCATTTTTTGGTATTTTAATTATTTAATCATATATTTAGCTATTTATTGTGATAGGGGTAATCTCTTGTGAGCTTACAATATAAGTTTATAATCTAAGTTTACATCCTTGTTATAAGTTTACTTAAATTTGAAAGTTCAATAACCTTAAGTCCAATGAAAAAGGCAAATTTTTCAGGTATCCATTTTTATGAAGAAACCCTTCATCAATAATTTTTTTAGATCTCACATACAGGATTCTTTTAATGGCCAAAATACCCTTCATCATTTTTTAAAAGGTTAATAATATATTTAGTCTCTAAAATTTAACCTCATTTTAGTTTTAGTTCCTAAAATTTTAGCCATATTTGAAATCAATAGTTTTAGTATCTGAGATTTGATTCCATTTATTTTGATCATTATTTCAAGGATTAAAAACATTGTTCTAGTCCAAGGACCAAAAATTTTTAGAAGGATAAAAAAAAAAAACTTCAAGGACCAAAATCACTAGTTTTAAATTTAAAACACCTAACTATTGATTTCAAATTTGAAATATAATTGGTGATGGAATTTCTTGCAATTGTTTCAGTAAAACTTGGGGTCACAAACAAACAAAGACAATACGACATAAAGTTTGGAATATGAACAAACCTCTAAGTTGGAATGAAACATTTTTCAATCGATGATATAAATTACTTATATGGACCATTAACTTGTTTAATTCAAAATGCAATTAATAAGTTGGCCCCACCACAATAAATATCCCTTTTAAATAGTCAATTCAGTTTGGCAACATGTGCACGTGAATTCCAATGAGTTGATCCCAGACAATGCTTTTGAAAATATATACTTCTGACCATAAAAAACGTACACGTTACATTATTATTAATCCGGAACATTACATAAACACATGTAATTACTTACAAGGACCAACTTGTTTAATTCAAAATACAATAAATAAAATATTCTAAACACCCTTGTATTTTATTTTAATTATACATACCTTTCCTATATTTTAAAAAATGTCATATGCATTTGAAAAAAAATAATAAATAAACAAGTTTAGATAAACAAGATTAAAAATTTAGAATTATAACATTAAGTAATTTTATAATATTATAGAAATTAATTAATTTAATTCGGAAGTTTAGCGTATTTTACTCAAATACAAAATTAATAATTTGGCCCTATCACAATAAAAATCCCTTAAAAATAGTCAACTTGTTCTGTCCAGTTTTGCATTAAAATTACAATAAGTTAATCCAACATCATACTTCTACAAATACCTCTAAACCATATAAGACGCACGCACCCGTATGTGTATTATTCACCAATTATTACACAAGCACCTCATATATATGTTTTCGTGTATCCTTCCACTTCTCTCCACACATTAAACTTGTATCCATGGCCATGAAATTCAGAAACCTTTGCTTCTTCTTCCTCCTCTATTCATCACCATTTTCATCTCCATCTCCCCATCAATTTCTCTCTCTTTTGGCCTCAAAGATAGCTTTGTTCAATGTTTTTCCTCAAATACAACAATCACTAATAATAATGCAACTTCGCAAGTCATATTCACCCAAAATGACCCGTCCTATCAACCCATTCTTCACTCTTCCATCAGAAATCTCATGTTCTCACACAAGTCAACCCCAAAACCAATCCTTATCGTCACTCCAAATAACATCTTTCAAATCCAATCTGCCATCACCTGTTCAAAACAACACGGTTTACAGGTTAGAGTTCGAAGTGGAGGTCATGATTATGAAGGTCTTTCTTATACCTCCCATGTTGAACCTTTCATAGTTATCGATCTTTTTCATCTTAGATCGATAAGTATAAACCTTGAAGACGAAACTGCTTGGGTTGAATCAGGAGCAACAGTTGGAGAGTTATATCATGAAATTGCTAAAGCAAGCAGTATCCATGGCTTCCCTGCAGGAAGCTGTCCCACAATGGGCATAGGAGGACATGTAAGTGGTGGTGGATTCGGTACTATTTTCAGAAAATATGGTTTAGCAGCTGACAACGTTGTTGATGCTAAAATGGTGGATTCTGAGGGTAGAATCTTGAATCGAACATTAATGGGAGAAGATCTGTTTTGGGCCATACGAGGAGGAGGAGGATCAAGCTTTGGTGTTATCACTTCATGGAAAGTTAAAATCTTACGTGTCCCCCCAACAGTAACAATCTTTGATATTTCTACAAATGTTCTTGAAGATGATGATGACTCAGCAAAACCATTCATGCAGTGGCAAAATATAGCAGATAAGCTTCCTGGGGAGATTTTTCTTCATGCAGTAACGGGAACTGGAAATGTTAATCTGAATGGTTCATCTTCTAAAACTACTAAAATTTCTTTCACAGGATTGTATCTTGGAGAAGCTGATAAGGCTGTGACTTTGATGAGTGAGAATTTTGCAGAATTGGGTTTGCAGAGAAATAACTGCAAACAAATGAGTTGGATTCAATCTGTTCTTTATTTTGCAGGATACTCAGTGAACTCCTCCATTAATGTGCTACTTCAAAGAAACCAAAAATCTCAGATCAGTTTCAAAGCAAAATCCGACTATGTAACGAAACCTGTTCCTTTGTCTGGTTTGAAAAGGCTATGGAAGATTCTATTATCTGAGGATAATCCTCCATCGTTGATACTGACACCTTATGGAGGAAGAATGAGTGAGATTTCAGAATCAGAAACCCCATTTCCACATAGAAGAGGGATCATATATGGGATTCAATATTATGTGTCGTGGGATTCGAATAATAATAATGGGACGACAGACAAATATTATTTGACGATGATGAGAAGATTGTACAATTACATGACACCGTATGTTTCGAAGAATCCGAGGGCTGCGTATTTGAATTATAGAGACTTAGATTTGGGGGTGAATACAGGTCTAAATACAAGCTATGAAGAAGCAAGATCTTCTTGGGGATCTAAGTATTTCAAGAATAATTTCCAAAGATTGGCTAAAGTGAAAGCTTCTGTTGATCCTGGCAACTTTTTCTGGAATGAGCAGAGCATACCTCCTTTGACTGTTATCTGATAGAAGACACACACACACACACACATATGGAAATTTAGGTTTGTTGATTCTTAATTATTGTCGATGGAGTTCTAGAGTTTCAAGAAAGAATTGTTGAATATCCAAACTCTTCTGTCAGCAAATATGAATATGATGAATAATAAAGGGAAGTTTATTTTATTATTGGCCGGACCCACCAATTTTACTAATGTTTAAATTTCATTTGTATCATTTTTCAAATTCGTAGTCAAATTTGTATTGCATGTTTTTCGACTAAATGATAAGGACTGTATTATTTATGACTTTTTTTTTCCAGAAGAATTATTATGAAGGAATGTAATTACCGAAAACTCCCACAAGCAGCATGTGATAACAGATTCCGGGACAGAAAATAACTATGGATCCATAATACTCAATTATTATTAGTAAGACTTTTTTATTACTACTTTCGGTTCTTAATATAAGATCCCGTTTGACTTTTGTGTTGGTCCTAAATATAAGATCCCAATCCATTTTGTCTCTCATATTTACTCAATTTTTTCCAAGATAGTTCTTTTAATAATTAGCCAACACACTTGATTAGTAAGGATATTTTAGAAAAGATAACACTTATTTATTACAAATAACTAACTTAACTTCTTTTCTTAATTTTCTCAAATTAGTCAAGTGACTATTATAATTAGGACCGGAGGTAGTATTAAATTCTTTCCTTGAGGTTTCATAATGATTTTTTTCCATTTTTTATTAACATATTGAGAGGGTTTGAAACCCTTAACCTCTATTCTTATCTTACCCCACCCTTGGTATATAAGCCAGCATGGAGAATTTTATATTGATAATTAATTAATATTTTAATGATGATAATGTGATAGATGTTGTATTTAATATTGATATTGGTATTGAGATTAATAAAATTATAAATATCATAATCAGGCAAAGACGACATTAGACGTGAAATTAGAATTCTGAACAAACTTGGAGTTCTAAAGTCACATCGTCAGGCTGCGCTAGGTAATGACTATTATTTTTTGAAAGGAGAGCAAAAGACCAAAATATTAATTACTTATGAAGACCAACTTGTTTAGTTCAAGGATGATAATGGAAGATATTAACATTTTAAAAGGAGCTTTGGAAGAGTGAATATTGAATTCTTGATTTTCTTTTAAAACAATCTCTCGTGTATTGTACAAGCTAATTAAATTCTAGTTTTACCAATGTATTGATAGGGACAGTATTTTGAATAGAATATGTGGTTAGCAAAAGAAAAAAAAAAAGAATTAACTAATGGAATAAATTATGCAAAAAAGAATAAAGTATTGTAAATATTTGCCCCGCAGTTCAACAAGTGTTGGTCCTAATAAATGAGGTTATGGTATGAGATCTTAATTCAGTTTGAATTTATGTGAATATAAGAAAACGTTTTTGGAATCGCTACTTCTAATTAAATCCGACAATGCTCGAATCTAGTCTAATTAGATAGCAATATAAAAAAAAAAAAATCACCCCACAAACTTGGTGATAAACAGCTGAGATTTAGATTTTCATTCTTATGGAAATACCTATAGTTAATTAATACTATCTTCAGTTCTTAATATAAGACTCAATTAACCAATTTGAAAAAACTTAAGAAAATTACTAAACTGTTTTAAACTATTTATATTCATTTTTTTTTTCCAAATTAATTTACCCCACTTACAAATTAATATATAATATAATAATCTATATGAGTATTTTAGAAAGGTCATGTAATATATGCTATAATTAAATAATCTAATAACTTTCTAAATTTCTCTAAATTGGTTAATTAGATCTTATATTAAGAAGCAGATTAATAACTAATTCTGTATGGTCGAGTGTGTTTATTGAAAGAATCAGATTATTTGATTTGATTATCCAATATTTAAAGTTTTTTTCCTACTATTGAAACGTAAGCATACATATGATGTTGGAATAACTTTTTATGAAATATCATTAATGCGTAGAAATACAGTAGAACAAAAAAAAAATGTAACTCAAATTGTTCATATTTTCTTATTCTAAAGATTAAAAGGTAGAACAGTAGATTAAAAAGTAGAACAATAATAAGCTTTTTATTTCTAATAAATAATAGGGAGAATTACAATGAGGTTCTAAGAAGAAAAATAATTACAAAATAAGTTCTAAAAGTTATCATTTCCCACTTTAAAACTTGTCAAGCCGTTTAAGTTGTTATTAAGACTTTTTAATAATTATTTTCCTTCTTTGAGGCCTTATTGTGATTCTCCCTAAATAATATAAAATAAACAAGAACATTAAATATATAAGCTTTTTCTGAGAAGAAAATACCTACCTAAACAAGTTTTTCAATTCATGTAAGCAGAAAACAGTTTTTTTTTTAATTTTTTTTTTCAAAAAGTAATCAATCAGGGCAAAATAATTTATCCTCCTTAATTATTTAAAAAATCTTGTCCAAAACATGAACGTCATTTCTGCATGAAGATTGAAAAAGGTCATCAAATAAGCCAAACAAAATTGACATACTATATCAACGCAGACGAGGGACACTTTATCTTTCAAAATGGCGAATCGAATATTAATCTAAAATTGTTTGCAATTGGATGACGACCAAAGTGTTGGGAAAGTTTCTCAAATGAATTGCTATTTTCAACTGTCAAAGCTTGAACGTCTCCCTTCTAATTGGTCTGACCCCAAAATAGTCTGCTCCGGGCATAAATTTTGGAGAAAATTGCTGAGAAAAATTACAATCAAGTTTCGAAAAAAGAATTTAATTATCTTAAACCCATTGACAAGTGAAAAACATGAATAGAAAATAACAACAGATTCATACCAGTCACTTATCATTAGAATTTCATCATAATTAATTTCCTTCCTCAAACCTTGCGGTAATTCTCCCAAATTGCTATGATGCTTGAAAAAGAAATATAATCATCAGAAAAATCTAAAGATACGTGAATATTATGCAATGACAAGTTTTAAATTAGAAAATAATAAGTTCATACTATTTGTTCATTATAGATTAGGAAATAACAAGTCCAGATATCTATAACTTTTTGCCTAAATGGACACCATCGTTTCAATGAACACCAAATTTAACTTAAAATTCAATATTTATCAATTAATCTTATTTAAATAAATCATTTCTTCCTTCACTTCTATATCATTGGCCCAAGTGCCAGTTACAGCTGCGCTAGTTATTATTGGCAGCAAATGCCTAAAGACATGGATGGTCACCGCTTCAGCATGTTATATACAATAATCCCTGAAAAAAATTAATAATTACAGAGTAAAAACAACCATATACATATATAAATATATATTTACATATAAAAGTTGTTATTGTGTCAATTTGTTTCCCCCCTCAGGATATCTTCCTTGAAAGGGCCAGAATCATGTAAGAGATTAATAACAAGCTTCACCTGTACAAAAGACAAGAAATCAAAGTAAACAAAATTGCAAATCATCAGGGTTAGATGAAGAGGGGTAATAATGACCTTTCACAAGAAAGGCTACACTTGAAAAGGGAATGAAACTGTCATTAAAAAGTATGTCTTTGGACTTTCTGGAAGAATTCGGTCGGTACCAAGAAAATGGTTACATTACATCCTTCGTCATACAAACGAGAACATAACCTCTTATCTAGACGCAACATTAACAGGAGATAATCTTGAGGTATGATCCAAAGTTGGAGATACTTGGTTTTCTGATCTTATTTTGCTTACTGCAGTTGTTTTTTAGTCATGTAGTCAGAGAGTTGCATCACAGCTCGTCAAGTTAACCAACAAGTTTCTAGAGTTTGGCCCCTGTCTGGCAGTTTATTTTTATCCAAATGTTTATTTCATGGTTGGAAATTTCCTACAATTGCTTTCATTCACGAGTGTTTGTTGTTTGGACTGCTTTTTATCTTTTATGCTTGCGTATGCTTATTTTGGACTTCTTGTATGTTGTTTTTAATTGATTCTTTTATAAGGGGGAAAAACAAGTTTCTAGCCTAAGAAGAATAAGTTCCAGAAACAGAAGTTTTATCCCGACTAATATGAATTTGATACTTGTATTAGATACAGCAAAACAATGAAAATTGAATCTGAATAATACACATCATTTTGCCATATATCTATGTCAATGCTGGAACCTTTTAGACTCTGCCCACATGGGGCCTACCTTAGACAGCTTGGAATGAATGATTTCCCAACCCAGTTTAGTTGGGAAGTTTGCTGCTAAAACAAGGTTCTTATAAGGGACTTTTTCGGAGTTCGTTAGTTAAATTTGAACCTGATAGAATTGTTCTATATTCTCTTTTCTTTTCTCCTCTTTTCTGTCTATTCCATTCTTGGCCATTATATCAGTTAATTGTATTTAGTCCTTAACCCTTCCAAGAGTGAGAAAAATAAAGTGGAAAAATTGCATATCCTTTCAAGCACGGCATATAGTTCCAAAAGAACGCACATGTCAGCTGACAATTATCATACCTGAGAAGCTTCACGGATTAAGAAGTCTTCAATAGGCTTCCTAAATCCATTATCCGTCAGGTAGTGGCAGCTATAAGTTGTCACTGGCATATAGCCTCGCTGGATCTTATGCTCACCCTGAGCTCCAGCCTCTACTGTTTGAAGATTGAGTTCAATCGCGGCTTCAATAGCCTGTAACGCCAAACAGTGCAACAACTACATTATATGCTTCCATGAGCTATATACTACATCTTATTTGAGATCTTGGTGAACCATCAGTAATTCGAGGATCCAATCAAGGAATAAGGAGACATGAAAGCGCCAGAAAACACTTGAGAAACAGAGTCTCACTCAAAGATTGTGATTGAGAATTTAGAGTAAACCGTTGTGTAAACAACCCAAACCTCTGTGATTTTGTGCAACTGCTAGCGTCATAATAGGGCTGTTTTGAATTTCTTTTATTGGGAACTAATTTGTTTATCTATACAACATTAGTATAAGAGATAAAATCATTAAGAGTGTAGTGTACTTGAACAGGAGATAATGGAGAAGACCCAGTTTGGGAATCGTTAAGGATTTCTGTCCAACTCTCTGAAATCTTCTTTCATTCGCATTTTCAAATTGGGGGATTTTGGAGGAGAAAATTTTGCCAATCAAGGAAAAGGGAAAATTATCATCTGATCATATCTTCTACTTCCTTCTCTCCACTTTCCTGTTCTTTGTACTCCTTTCATTCTC